TGTTTTTTGTGGGGTGGTTAATGAAAGTGTTCCAAAATGTGACAATTTCTTGATGACCTAATACATGAGTTATTCTGACAGTTTTATATTCATTTTGGAATAGACCATTTAAATGTCACACTTAGAAATATAGTAAGGGTACCCACCTGTTAAAACAATGCATTCTAAGTAAAAATCTAAGAAAAGTATATTAAATCAGCTATTTTCATTACTGGGTTGATTTTTAGTTTCAATCTAAGAAGGTAGCCTTCTGTGATTGGAAGTTAATATTATTTTGTGTTTTTCTTTGTTCAGGATCCAGAGGAATCACTGTATTGCTAAAGCTGACATCAGTACTTGCTGTTTAAGTTGGCTTTTTAACAGACATTTAGATGGGACATGCACATGTTTGTGCATGTTTTTTTACAATTTTCCCTGTGTCAGGGAGAAAATTTTTTTTTATATTGTAGTTGAGTTTTTAGGAAATTTTAAACTACATTTTTTATTTTCTACATCCTTTTTGTTAATATCGTTATCCTAGCAGTTAGTTGTTGGACGTCTTGTGATTTACAAATGAGGTAAACTTGATTGTGATACAAATGGAGAAACCTAGGAAGGTATTCATATTAAAATGTTGTTTGTATGTATAAGAAAAGTTACATTTTCACCATCATTATCTTTACAACTACAAAAATATTTCCTTCTAGAACTCCAACAAAAATTGTATAAGTACTAGTGGTGCAGCAAAAAACCAATGTAATTTTGAATTGCTATCTTCAGCTTTTAAAGAATTTGATTTGATAAATTAGAACTGAAATGTAAGTTTATTTTCTTGGAAAAGGTAGTTATATGTAGTATAATTAACACTAAGCAATATTATTTCAGAAGTTTTGTTTATGAATGTTTAGCATTAAATCCAGAACAGCAATGCCAAACATGTTTTATTATCGACAGTACTACAAAAATGTATTTTATTTAGAAGTATTGATTCTTCCTAATATTCATATTCTGATAATATAAAAAGTTTTCACCATTAGTAGGATATGTAGGTATCGTAAACTTTCCACAATAGTTTTCACCTGTAGTAGAGGCTTTGGAGGTATACATAGTTCTGTAATAGTGCCATTTACATTCATCTTATGTTTAATCTTGTCTGTTTTTCCACAAAAAGATGAAGAAATTTTACTACTGAGGCTGGCATTCAATACATGTTGTAAGATGTGTAATATATTTTTCTAGAGTGCATCAAACTGTAGTCTTGTGTTTTCTTTTCTCTCTGTCTAACACTAACAAAAATAAATAGATGCAAATAGTAGGTAGACCATCTGAAGTCAGCAGTACTAACCTATTAGTCTTTGCTATATCTATCTTAAAATTTATTAATAGTATGATAAAGACATTACTGAAGCTGTGTAAAGATTATGATACAAATAAAAAGTCTTTTTTACGGTGCATAATGATTAAAACAATAGCTCAAAAGAGCATCATATTTAAATTTATATCTTAATTGTAAAACAAGGAATATTAGTTTTCTCAAATGTGCTGCAGCGTTTTAACTCAAATTATGGGCTTTAAGGACATCTGTTAATGTTAGAAATAGCAATTAAATTTTTCTTTTTTTCTTCAATGGTAGAACTATTCAGTTTATTTTATTTTTTTATGGAATCAAAATTTTGTAATTAAAATTAATGTTATTGTGGTAACTGTTGATATAAATGTATTAAAAATAATTATATTATGTTTAAAAGGTTAAGAGAGCAGAACAAATGTCAGAAGGATGACAGTTCATGTAAATTGAATATACATGTTGAAATTGTAATAAAATTTCTTTGAAGTGCATTTATGTGCTAAAATAATTTTGGTCTGGAAGATTTTTTAATTAAGTATTTACTAAGTATTACAAATTAAAATGTGTAAACAAGAAATTGTAGAATTATAAGTGTGAGATTTTTTTTGGTATGTTGTATGCTTAATATTTTTAACATGTTACTACAGTGCAGAGTCACTAAGAGATTTAAATTTCTGGTGTTAGTTACATTGTAAACATGCATGTGTTCACTTGTTTAAAAGAATGAGAAGAGTTTAGAAAAATGAGTTATGTAAGATTTTCTTTCTCATTTTATTATTTCAAAGGGAAAAATCTTCTTAAGTCTCATTTTCCTTAACTTTTCTAAAATGTATAGAGTGATTGTTATAGATTAATTAAAGATCATCTTTGCACAAATAGTTTGTTGGTCTTCTGACAAACTTCACTTGCATTCACTACATTGTACTTGGTGTTTCAGTGTTTGTTAGAATATTAAGCTACTGATTGTGTGATGTTGTGGTAAACATGTGGATACACTGTCAAATGAACAGCTACAAAGGAAATGGTATTAAGTGACACCAAATTCACGTACTCATGGAAAGTAAGTCCATAATTAGAAATAGTGGTGCATATGCAAAGAAATTTAACATGTTCCATCTCACTTAACAAATAAATAAATATATATATAATCATATCTGTGATATTAGGGGTGCACAGTGAACCACTTGATGTACACATACATATCAAAATTGAATGAACAGTAGCAGAAAAAAAATAACCATTTTCTTTCAAAGGCTAAAGTTCACAGAGTGGAAATAAATAATTGGCAAATTATTTGAAATACCAGTTTTTTAAGGTATGTGTGGTCTAAGAGTAATTTGTTTTTTGAGATTTTATATTAGTAGAGTTGCGATGAAGTCTCAAGGGACCACATAAAGTGAAGGGACACAAATTTATTCTAGCACAACTATCCCTCTGCACATTGTGAATGCATTGCCCCATGTAAATTTAAAATTTCCCTTAACATCATTTGGTTTATGGTTAGAATGCTGTATTTGTTGCATTGTTTGATTTCACTTCATTAACAAAGTTCAACATGGTGATGCATTATCATAGAATACAGATGGTTGAGTATGTTATATTAAAACAATTTTGAATACACAAATCAACAAGTCATGTAACAGCCTTGGCTGATATAAAATGGTGGTGTAACAGCATGTAAAATTATAGCAGAAATACATTTTGACATTGTTTGGTGTTTCGTAGATAATGTAACACCACCAAAAATTGATCATTTTCTGGCAGGGTATGTAACAGTCCTTTCTGATGCAAAATATTCATACATCTAAAATATACCAGTGTGAAGTTGAAGAGTTAGGTTTTCCAAAATGGGGATATCCTGTCTGCTTAATAGCATTGGAAAACAAAAAATATGGATGAACTTTGGGTACTTGGACCACCCAGAAAAGAAACCTACAACAAGTCATACCCCAGAGGTAGTAAGCAATGTGTGACATCTTGTAACAGGTAAGAAGCCACAAACACAAAGGTCAGTAACAAAAGCCATATACATATCCTAAGCAAGAGTATGCAACATAATCAACAAGAATTTCCTCAGGAAAAGCAACAAAAGTCATTTGTACAAAAGTTGCTACTGTGACATGTCCATTTAACAGTTGTATATTTCAAGTAGCTGGAAAATAAAATGGGTTTACATGCTGCTTCGTATGAAGTTGCCAGGCACAGTGCCTATGGATTTCTGTAAGATCATAATATTGAACCAGGCACTCGGATCTCATCATTCTAATTCAATAGCTAGCTTATGGAAAGCATGCTGGGAGCAGTAGTGTGCTTTTGGCACCACAGCCTATAATAAAGCATTTTGTGATTGAAATTACACTGCAGGGCTGTTTTCAAGATAGGGTATGACTGCATGTGGTGATATGGACTGTTATGATGTGTAAGGCTCCAAATTCATTTTAATATAATTTACTCAACCTCTGTATGACTTACATTTGGTAACTTAAAGTATCCTATTGCTGTGTATAAAGTTGATGGATTTTTTTTTTACATTAGTAGTCAGTGTGGTGTCACTATAGACATGTAACTAGTCTTCAGAGAATCAGCATTTTTTTTTCTCTCCTTTGTCATCTACCACAAAATCAAACTTGGTGTTATCTAATTATTGATCATTGTTGTTGTTTTTTTTTATCAAGAATGCATTCAATGCTCAAATCAAGCTAAATAAAAACACGATTATTTAACTCAATTATTCCCAGGAGTAATAAAAATTAGCATCTTGAACTGACTATACAGATAGAAATATTTAATTTTTGCTAATTATTTTGTCTTTTTTTTTTTTAATTGTAACCAGTGTAATGAATGTAAGTTATTTATAGAGTAACCTTTGTTACATCAATTAAAGAAAAGTTTCAGCTGAGCATGTAGTCATGTTCTTTTGTTCTATACATATGTACATTAATTTTTTTATGTATAATAGTAGTCTTGAGATCAGTTACATTTTTTATTACAAATAGCAATATTGAGAATTTTACTGAAAATACAGTCCATCATGTATCCAGCTAGAATACAAAGTTGGATGTTCTTGTCATTCTACAACTGTTAGTTTGGGCTCTAACCAGTCCCTGGGGGGTATTGTTATTGATGATGCTCTCAAAAAACAATGGGTCCTATGGATTCTAATCTTATTACCTGGTTCTTTTATACATTAATTCTAACTGTATTACAAATATCTTTATAAGTTTTATTCTTGTACAAATGGTCTGGTATTTTTGTAATTGCCAGTATAGAGTAATATTGCTTGGTTTTATAGTTCACAATGTATTTAGCTTTCTGCAGAGATCTATGTAAGTAATAACTTGCATGTACAGAGGATCATTTGATTTGTACATTTCTCTAAAATAATGTAGGTTAATTGTCATTCTTCTGTAAAAACACTTACACTATAATTTTTGTAATTATTTTTTTATGATTATGGGTTTTATATGGTACAGTAGTTTATTGTACAATATAATCAGCAACCTTGCATTTACATTTTTTAAATTTATTACAGTGTCTTGTATCACCTTGATATTTATTTCATAGATACTATGGTAGTTTTGGGTGAATGATCTAACACCCAGTTAATCTGGCCTGTAGGGAAATTTTCTCCAACTAATAAAGAGTGGTTGAACAACAACAAAAATTATTTTGCTCACATAGTAAGTTAATAGTTAATTTTCTTAAACAACACAAAGTAATTGCTTTTCTTCTCTCAGTTTAATTCTTTATCAACTTAAATGTGAAATTGTTTCACAGATTTGATGTTCATAAAGGGTGTGCAGCCAATAGAAAGAAAGATTCTCAAGGTAACAGTACAATAAAGTATATAACTAAATGTGATTATCAGCTGTTTTAACAAAAAAAAAGTCTTCAGACTGTTAAGAATTAATCCTAGTTTAATGACAGCCTAGGATCTGTAATGTTATTTACTCAATTTACTAACTACCAAACATTTGCTAATGGAGTGAAATATCAGTAATGAGATGTTTTAACAGGGCCCTTAAATCTCAATTGTTTTTAATCATTATAGCACAGATAGTCTTCAGTTATGTCAAACCAGTTAATTTTTCATGTACAGTATGTGAACTTGACAAGTTTATTACCACATATCCTAAAAAGAGGAACACTGATGCCTATTATAATAAGAAAAATATATATGCATACTGTAGTTAAAATATCTTTGTTCAAAATTTAAGATCATTCATTTTAAATCCCAGTGGCTCAGTGAAAAGTTTGTGGGCTTACAATGCCAAAAATCAGGTTTTGTTATGATGCGCATAGCACAGATAGCCCATTGTGTAGCTTTGTGCTTAAAAATAAAATCATGCTGGAAGTTGTATAGCTTTTAGAATAATGTGTTACGTTTTAACCCTAATTTCTGAGCCAAATAGAATCATTTTGAAAAATCAAATAAAAACAGTACAGTGTTAGTGAACAATAATTTTATTAATACACTACACATATGTTAATTTTTCAGATAAATTTTGTAATAGAGAAATCTAGGATAAAGTTAAATTAAACTAATTCAAAATATTTTAAAAGTCGAACCCTTAGATACCACATAATGAATGATACTTTCTTTTAACTCCTTAATATATTATATGAAAACATTCCATAATTAATGAGCATATTCTCTGCTAGTCTTTTAATGTTGCACAAAAACCTATTTTAACCTTTAACTTATTATGTTCTTTCAAAACCTGTAATATGTTCCCCCAAAATAAAACCTCTTCATTTTAAATATATCATTGCTTATCAGTATACTATTATATTAACATGATGTGCTTCCATACACAAATAAACCCACATGCTAATTTCATTACTTGATACATTTTCTTTTACGGTGTTATACATACCACTAAATGTAATACTCTTAGTTTTACTTTTGTGGCCACTTTATCTCGGACAGTGGACTTTCATTTTCTTGTAAATCCTGAGCATGATTGATAGCCTCATTTTATAATTTCTATGCTACTATGTTGCATCTGTTAACTCCTTAGTATATAAGCCATTAAGTTTCCCACATTGTGTCATTTTAAAAGTGTAAATATGAATCCAATGCTGTAATGTATTGATGACTAACTTAAATTGCACTGTAAAAACTGTCGATGGATTTTTGAAAATGCTTGGGTTATTGGATTTCTTAAATTTGACTGAATTCATTTTATAGTATTAAGTGTTTTTAAATGATGCTATTGAAAAACATCACTTTATTTGCTTTGCTAATATATGACATGCTCAATAGTTTGAATTGGGAGTAATTTATATATTAGTTAAAAGGGTATTTACATTCATTTACTAACAAGGTTGTAGTGTTTTAGTTCATTTTTATAACTCCCTAGTATACATGAGCTTATGTCTGCTGCACCGAGTTCTTTAGTTTTCCGGTACCTCATGAATCTTTGATAGTAATTTATACAGCTACTCTAAGTTATCTGTGCATGTGCCTTATAACACCATTTATAGGCCCAAAACATCACTATGTTTCATCAGTTAATACTTTCTTTTTACTATAAAAAAATCTATTATGTGTATCAGCCACAAGTAATGAGATCGGATAATTATATATAAATGCTAGGGACCAAGTCAACAGTGTCTTGCTCCATAGTTACATTCCTATTGTCATATTACAATAGCATGTCCCTGAGGTTTTTTGGATACAGTTCACCTTGAATGGGGAAAATATATACCATGAGAGATGCAGCTTTTTTTTGTGCAATATCAAATTCTAGAACATACAATAAAGTAATTTATAGGTTAACAATTGTGCCTCAGAGTTGTGCTTCTAGTATTAAAAAATTTCTAACAGTACTTGCCCTAGTATCATCAAACAAAAGCTGTTAAAATCAAGAAAAATACAAAATTTGCTTTAAAATGGTGCTAATTTAATTATTTCAGTTAAGTAGGTTAATATCACCAAAGTTCTGAGTTTATTGAATTTCTTAGGTGTTCCATCTTTATTCTTTTGTTCAACTTGTTATATGATCAGCTATGTATAAGCCAACAAATTGTGCAGCAAATGTAAGAACAGCCACAGAAAATAAAATATATTGAAGTTATAAAAGGTACTTGAATAAACTAAACTTAAAACTGTAGGTCCTTATATTAAATATTTCATCCAACACTTTTGGACTACAGCAATGTGTTTTAAAGTTCAATAATGTTATACAAGAAAAAAAATTTACGGCTGCAAGTGGTAAAGTACCTTTTATACATTACATCATGCTAATTTCTTGAAACTTGCAAAATAACATAAGTTATAAAGTTTAAATCTTATGTACATTGCCATTTGTTGGTGCTTTTTTTAATAGCCAGAAAAAAAGTTAAAAGCTTAATGTCCATATTCAATATTAATACAACAGTAATTTTTGCAGTGTTTTACAATGCTTGTGAAAAACAATGAAGATTTTTAGACTAAGGTAAAAAAAATTTTAAATCATGTTTAACTAAAGATATCTTTTTTCTTAGTTTTGTCAGTGACTTGTGGCAAAAGAAAAATGTTAATATTGTTTCTTATGAAGTCTGCTATGTACGTATTAGAAATGTAAAGAAAAATATCTGCAGTCAGTTATTTACATTTAAACAGTATAACTAACACTATACCATAAGAATGTTTAAGAAAAAAACTTGTATCTCCTGGGAAAACTCTTTGTTTTAGTTACTTTTCAGATCAAAGTAAAAATTGGTATTAATTTGAATATTCACAACCATTTGACCCTAACTTTGATGATGAACAGTTGACTGTAAATTCAAGAAAAATACAGGTCATATTTCTCCTTTTTGTGTTTAGATGTTAGAATTTTTTATTTTATAAAACTTTATTGGTTTCTTGTAAGTGATGTTACAAGATTAATTGGTGTGATTCTTTTTGAATATTTAATTTGTGTCAAATAAGGTTAACGTAATATACATCGGTGAAAAGAAGTTACAGTTTTAAGTTGAAAAAGTTTGTTAAAATACTAGTTGAAAGAAATGCATTATAACTTAATTTTATATAAATTTTTTTAAGTTAAAGACACGAGGTGAAGTGTGATTATATTTTGTGGAGTTCAAGGCCTCCTCGATAAAATTGCCCAGTCCTATTCTGTAGTCAGGCAAAAAAAAATCCTATAGCCTGATAATTAATCTGATGTATTTATCAATTTCACTTCTAATTCTAGGCTTACTTTTTATAGTATGTAAATTGTATTTAATGGTGACACTTAATATTTGGTAAAGCTGATGTTTAGTGTGCATTTTGTTCAAATATGTCAATGTTGTTATCTTGGAACAGTGGATGTAATTGAATTTACAAGCAGAATTTGTTAGTTGTTTTTTGAATAAGAGATGAAATAAAACAATAGCTTTAAAAAAGTTTTATCTGTTGTGTGTGCTTTTTTAAATATAAATTTGAAAAATGTTACATCAAGTATGAAATTTAGTGAAAACTTTGTAGGTAGAAAAACTGATGAATCAATGGACTTGATGCAAATTAAGAGTTATCATTGACAAAGTACAATACAGTTTGACAAAAACTGCTCTGAATGACATCCTGTTTTCACACAGATCAATATTGTTTCCCTAAACTTTAGGAAATATCTGAAATATTAACATATGCAAACATTTTAAAAAGCTTCACATAAGTTAATTCTCTATAATCTTAAACCATTGATAAAGACAAGCAAAGACTTGATTCAACATTCTTATACGAGTTTTACTTCTAAAATTGTTCAGATGTTATAAGTATAATAGTACTGCCTGTTGTATGTCCATGTAACTACTTCAGGGTGCAATTAGATCTCCACCAAATTTGGTATGGAGGTTCATTAGGTCCATGGGGAGATGTATACAAATTTGTACCAGTTATCAAAGTACACAGAAGCTTCATTAAGTGTACCACATACTGTCATTTTCTATCAGCCAGGTACCATTCCTACAATTTTCAACAGTTGGTCTTCCTTTTGTGGATATGTCATGGAAACAGTTTGAGTACATATGAGTTGTCACTTTTTTCAGATGGGGATCCTTCTTCATTGTGTTGTGTACTGTTGCCTGGAGCATATGGACAGCTTTTGTTTTCATGGTTTATCACCAATAGGAAGATGCCATATTGCTTACCATGGTTGGGGTATGAGCTTGTTTCACATCTCTTTCTGGATGGTCCTTTTTCCCTTATTTCTTTTTCACTGCCATTAAGTGCAAGGCATATCTTTATCTTGGATATATTAAATTTCTTATGTCAACACATCTTTTTGATCTGGGTGTATGAATATTTTGTATCAGAAAAGGTTGTTACATATCCTTCCAAAAAGCAATAAATTTTTGGTGACATCACACTACCTACGAAATGCAAAATAGTACTTAAATGTTGCAATATATTCCATTCCACCATGACTTTGTACTGGCTGTAGTTGTCACATGACTTGCTGGTTTGCATATTCTACATCATTTTAATAGCACACTATACCTCACTCTCATATAGTATATATTTAATACCAACAAAATTTAAAAATTTTTTAAGATCTAATTTGGAACATACTAAATCTGGTCTATATCATAGGCTAATTTCAACCTTCTATAATAGGATACAATCATGAAACTTCTGTTTCATGGAATAGTTGTATTGTACCAAGTTAACATTGTTATGTGGGCTGCTTTACAACTGATACATAAAGCATATGTTTGTGGATACTTGTGAATCACCTTTTTGACTGGTCAGCTACAGACAGGTGAATTGAACATGTAGTTTAGTATTTTCAAACATTCATTTCTGCTTGAACTCAGTGAACTTACATGGATTATCTTCTTCCTTTAAAGTTATATTTGCTAAATACAGTTTATTTTATTTTCATTTCAACACAGTTCATTCTTTTTAATTCAAACCTATAATGGCCAGCTCTTCTCTAAAAAAAAAGTATTCTTATTTTAACATCAAACCATGTTTGGTCTTTCTTTCTAACTAAATCAAACCATTATGCCTGTCCTATGTGCTGAGAATTTCAGAACTTCTGTACATAGCCATCTCCAAATTAAGAGGACATACTACAGGGAATGCACCTAGTCAACAGCACCCATTGCCAACTCTGATCAATTAGTGGGATTTGATTGTCACTCTTACAGCACATCCATGGCCCCTAAGTGCAGAGCACATTTTTGAGGCAACAGACATCAAACCATAAACCCCCAGATTCACAGTAAGACTATACTAACCACTAGGTCATGTCTAGTGTTCTTCTGCATACCAAGCCCATGAATCTCCATTATTCTAAAAGTAAGATTACTGTGGGGTAGGTGTAGCATTTAATTCTATCATAAATACTGTTGTGTTGTACAAATGCAATGGGACATGAAGATGTACATCTTAAAATAAAGTGATATGAATCATCAATGAGTTGAAATTTTTGTATGAAATCATTACAATACTGACAAAAAATGAAATTGGAAATGATACTTTTATGTTAAATTTGTTCCTTCCTCTAAAACTAAATTAGATAGAATAATACATCTCTTGCTTAGAATGTATAGAATCATAGTGAGGTCATACTTTAAATGGTTAATAAAATTTACCACTCATAGTATCAGCATCTCTAAACCTTTTATCATCCACTTTGGAAAATTCTTTATAGAATTTGCCATACAGAACATCATTAAAAATGTGTAAAACGTAGGAATCTTACTACAATATCTTCTAGCTTCCTGTAGGATCAAGTTTCCTTTTATTAATACATTTTTTCAGCTTTTACATTTTCAGAGCAATAATACTTAATTTATACAGGAGAGATTAGTGTAGAATTCTTCAAAAGGTTTGAACATTCAGAAAATTAAAACTAACTACTGAAGAGTATAAAAACAAATAGTTGCAACTTACAAATTATTTCACATTAAATCAATACAATTCAAAACAAAGTCTCTGTCCTCCATGAGTTGCTTTCAAAGAGTTGAATGAAATATATATCATACAACAGTACGCTATTCTATTCTCTCAGAGTCGTCATTAAGTATCAAACTCAACTTCTGTGGGTAACAAACTACATGCAACAAAATGTTTCTTGTGCTTTTCAATGACATAATTCATTACATAACAGAAAAACCTAGATGATAAAAATTGGTATCCATAAACAAGGCCAATAAAGGACAGATAATATGCCTTCTCCTTTCTATACCTTAGTACATTTTACAAAAAGAATGGAAAGCTGATCACAATATTAAGTATAAATGTATGTTTGTTAAAATAAGTTTGATAATTGCCGAGCTATTGCTCAGGTTCCATAATTAAGAATCAAATCCAACACAGCTGTATGGTTTATTGAGCAACACATGTTAAAAATAGATATGTCTCTTAGGAATTTTCTATGAACAGGGAACGTTCATACTGAAGAAAAATATATTCATTAGATTAAAATCCCCCTTTATGCAATATCATTATAATGCTGATAAGACTTTCATGGTTCTTTCCAGAGTTATGGATATGTCACTAATATGGTAATTACAACATCATAGCTAATCTTGATAATAATATATTTATTAATAAATAATTATTACATTTAATTGTAAAACATTTCATATATTATTTACAAAATTCACATCACAAGTACGGTTGACATTGTAAAGTAACATATATCAGCTGGAAAAATAATCTCATGATCTGTAATCTCTTCAAAATTAAGTACCCGGAGAAGATAAAGTTCCTTTACACTGTTAATAAAGTGATTTATAAACCACTAACAGTGGTATTTTGTGCATTGATTACACTAGAGAGTATGGAACTGTTTGAATTATTAAAAAGAGTTTTGAAATCTTATTCATCTTCTTAGATTACCGACTAGAGAATTGTAGTATTATTGTTCTTTCCTTGTGCCCCTTCTTGTTTTCTTTGAAGATTTATTTTGTCTGTTTTAAAAAACAACATACTTTTAGTATAGCATAATAAAGAATATTATATCTTCTGCCATAAACTGATGGATTAGATTAAATATACTTTACTTATAAGAACACTAAGTTTTACTGTGTCCTCAATTCTAAGAACCTAAGATACTGTAGGCCATAATAAAAGGCTATTATATACTGTTTTTTCACGAGGCTTAGCAATATAAGAATCTAACATAATTGACTATGTAACTTAAGAAGAAGAAAAGTATTTTCTCAAGACCAAGTATAAGAACAGTACAAAAGTTACTACTAGAAACAAACATAAGTTAAATCTATGAGCAGATTATATTCTGTTGATCCAGCAATATTGATGTTTGAATATATTAATACCACTGTTTATACTTGGTATCATTATTTAATAGCAGCATATTCTACAAAGTCAACTTAAACACTGATTTTTCTGCAGTTTCCTTTAATAAATACCAAATAACAAGACTATTAAATATGACAAAAGACACCCCTTTTATACTTTTGTGTCACTTCCACAGAACTTAAATAACCTAATCCACTTATAATATGATAATAATTATCAAAACTAATCAGTGTCTGTCAACACTTATATCTTCTGTTGTAACCTTATCCACAGTTGGTTAACAAATACACATTTATCTTTCTCTGTTTAGTTATATACTAAAATCTTCCAATAAAACAGATAATTCTCTTCTCTTTTTTTTTTTAAACAATCTATTCTCTATAACTCAAAAGAAAATTAAGGACAAATATAAAACATACCTGCTATGCATCCTTGGATTTTCCACAGCTTTTTTTTCTTCTATAGAAGCAGCTACAAGGTTCAGTTTTCCACTTTCTGTAAGAACCGCTGTATACTGCTCAAATAAAGAATTAAAAACTTGTTATAGTAAGTAAATAAAAGTGTTTTTAGCAAAAAAAGTAGTTGGTTTAATATTCAATTGAAATCTCAAGTAAATATTCTTTGTTAATTTGAGATCTCAAGTAACACCGTGTTAACAACTTTTATCATAATCTACATCATTCTAGATACATACATGATGGGGCAAAAATTGCTATACAGTTGGTACTAAAGAAAATATTATGAACACAAGCAAAACCAATCTAATTAGTGTTGTTTTTTTCAAATTAATAGTTAGAAATTAAACTACATTCTATGTAAAATAACCGTATTGTATCTTTTGTCCCACCCTGTATGTATGTAATACACACACACACAAACACATGTAGGTTGTAATAGACTGACTATAAGGATATTGTGAAAAAACACCTTTGAAGTTTTCATAAGTTGCTAACTTTGACCAGTTTAAGGCATGACATTTGGCATTTAGTAGTGCAAGTAAATATCACTTCAAGTAAGCTTGTGGATGCTAAAGCACCAGCTTCATTGGTAAGTTTCAGAATTACTTATTCTATCAGTAACATGGTTCTCTTTGACAATAAAATATATTTCAAATCTGAATCAAGTACATAACTTAATCCACAGAACTTACTTATAGGTAAGTTCTAATGTATATTATTAAATCCTTTTTTTGCTTGTTTTTTTTTTACATTTAGGGACTAATTTCTACCACATAAACAGAATGTGAATTATCAGTGTGTTTGGTCATTTTGTGCATAAAGTTTTGTCAGTTCTGACAAAAGATGCTTCTAGATTATTTAGAACAGTTCTGCTGTGAAACTATATTTAAAATTTAAAAGTCATCCATCCAAAAATGCACAGAATGAATACAATAATAATATAAAATCAGCACAGAAGTAATATAAAAAGAACAATATAAAAAAAAAACTACAAACTAATAGTAATAAAACAAGCTGAATAATGTAAAAGTACTGCAATATCATAGTTCTGGGAATAGTATTGCAAATGCATCATCACAATACCTGAAAGACAGCATAAAAATCAGCTTAAGTGATACTTGTTTCTCAAGGCTGAAGTGAAATACACTATGATATCATAATGCCAGTTAGTGCAACAGTAGCACAGAAATACTATATAGTAGATCTGGGCAAATAGTGGTAATTGCCGATCCATGAAACGACAGTCACTAACCGATTAGTACAGGATTCCTCCAACCACAGTAGAAGAAGAAAAATATGTTAACTTGATTATTTTTTTTGGGAAAATCATTATAATTCAAATTTAGATTAATCAATTGTTGGAATAATCAAAAACAGTAATAACTTAAAACACTCATTTTGATTAATCAGTTAGTTTAGGTGACACTAATTGACAATCATTTCTCACAGGTAGTCGATTATGTCGATTAATTTGTCCGGCCTACAAATAACTACTGTAATAATACAATAATATGAGCAATAAAACAGAAATTAACTTAATACAGATTTATTACTAAGCATGGCAAAATGTACAATATCACTGAAATTAAAATAATACAGGTATGTTATCAAACAAGAACAGCAATAGGTACAGTATCACAGAAATTAAAGTAATAATACCGTTATACTTTTGCACAAGCACATCAATGAGTTAAATTTCACAGATATATGTAAAATAACCCAGTAATACTGTCATAGAACTTCAATATTATAGCACCAATATGCAATGTCACAAAAGTTAAGGTAGGAAGCATGGTAAAACAGTAACAGTACTACTGAAGCATACGTGCAATAGCACAAAAATTTTCAACAATAGTATCACAAAAACTACTATCTTGCTAAAAGTATGATAATTATTATAAAAACAGTAAGGCATTACTCAATTGCTTCAACATTTTATGGACATTACAAGTACTAAACAAGAAATAAATTATTGCAGTGTTAGAATCACAAAATGGTTAAAATGTTATATCTCTTTATTATCAACAGTACAAATGTAATGAAGTAAAACAAAACCAATTTCCTTACTCTCAAAAATATCCTAATCAAACTTCTGTGTAACAAACAAATCAACCTAAATAACACTTACAGTTTCAGTACTGTCCTCCTCTATCACATCAGAGTCCTCTAAACCCACATCTGTTAAATACAGCTTTAGAAGTAAAATATGCTTTCTCAGCAATTCTTACATTTTAGAAACAGATAAGATGATCAGTTAGTCTAAAAAGAGCACCAACCTAAATCAAACTTTCTGAATAGTATCTAGTTTGTGCTTAAGAAAAATTAATATAGTTTGATTTAGTATTTCTATCATTTTTTAGGTTGTGACATTTTAAAAAAGGTTTTGTGAGACACTGCTTTAAACACTTTATTTTGTCTTAAATAAAAAAATTTTTTATTATTGGTAGAAATTCCTTTTTATACATATATCTAGTCAGTTTCAATTCATTCACTTTAATTAACACATTTCTTTAAATACTTTATTTTACCAGCTATAAATCATAAAAAGCACAGTAAAAATTTGACATCACCATTACCTCTGTCAGGCTAGGTATCATAATTTTTGTCAATATTCTTGGTCAAGATAATTTTCTGTGCAATAATAAGTTTGTTTTCAGTAAATAAAGTTCTTTTATTGGTGTGTTCTTTGAATATAATAAAGTTAACAAAAGGCAAATCATGTTGCTTAACATACAGAGTAAACCTAATAAACTTAGCTGATGTCTTATTATCGAAATTCCTGTAACTTTCAAACAGACATAATTTAATACAAAAACTTTTTCATAAATAAAAATAATGTTAAATGAAACTACTCATGAAATTTCCAGATCTGTGATTTATTCCTAAGTGTTGTAAACTTCACAAATGGAAGCCTTTTCACCACTGTGGGAAGTCTGAGTAGCCAGTATGTTCGTAAACCACAAATTATTGCTAAAACAACTTATTTACCTTATACTGACATAAATAAATTAAAATCTCCTTTATTCTACCATTTTAGCCATTGGCTTTAGTTATTTTCAAAGCTGAGTTTTTTGTAATTATTCAAATCACATATTCTGACATCATACAAAAGTGGCAAACAAGGGCTGTAATATTCAAACTACTAGCTTAGCAAACATAAACCCATACTTCTAAAATACTAGAAAAAAAAAGGATATGCATTGTTTACAGGTGAAACTCAAATTTTCATTTCTTTTGTATATTAGAATAAGATTTAAAGTTTTTTTCTGCAAAGAGTTCATCTTTAGAAATTAAAAATGTTTAGATTAAAATGTAGTTTATTAAATTAGATTTAAAACATATCATAGTCTAAAAAAAAATTGTTACCTAATATTTGTACAAAAATTAAATATTACTCTTACTTAATTTTTTTTCAATCTGAACCTGAAAAACTACTTTATGTTCAAATTCCTTTCTTCATTTAAAAGCCTTTAATTTTGTTTCTCAAATATTTGTTTTATTTAATTCAAGCATACATTGTCAGTAATTAATAAAGCAAAGAAAAGTACAAGTCCGAAGCTTATTTATTTTTACTGTGATGAATAAATAGGAAGATATTCAATGACTCAAATTTCAAAGTTTTTTTTTTTAATATTAATTTATCAAACAAGAAAATTTACCTAAAGGGGTGATATAGTTGGCTGGAAAGTACCCTTTCTTCCCAGAGTCACCTTCACCATACCACCAATGGTGGTTTTCATGATCCAGCACAGTTACCATACAGCCTTTCTTCAACTTCATCTCATCTTGCCGTTCAGGTTGGTAATCATAGAGGGCTACAAACTGGCAATATGAAAAACTTATGAGTATTTAAAATGACTAACCTCAAATGATGTCAAAGGGTTTAATAATTCTTTGACTATAGACTACATGCATTGCACCTACTACATAACTGTTAAAGTAACCATAAGATTATAACTTTTGATAAAGTATACACATCTTCATGAAATTTTTACAGGCTAGTAGTAAACATTAAAGGCTTTTGTACACAAAATATCAGAATTTTTAATTAGCTATTTTAATTAAAGATTTGCGTATTAATTTTGGCTTTTGGAATGTTGACTATCAAACATGCAAAGTGATACTGATTTTAAGATCAAAAATACTTTGCATAATCTCTATAACCTCTTAAATAAATATCCAATGCTTTTATTCAGAAAAACTTTATATTTTATCCGTTATTTTCTCTACCCTAACTCTATATGGGGTTCATTCGTTAAACAATCCTGAAACCAGGAAATAAATCTAACTTATCCTTTTTTATTTCTAGAATGACTGAAAATTGTAACAGGAAACCACAACTCTTTATTCTAAATAGCTATACATCAAACAGTATACATCAAATTATAATTATTAATTTTTTTTGATTTATTGACTTTTGAACCATGTCTAACTAATAATCCCACCACACAAGTTGTAAACCACTCAGCACACACGCAGTTCACATTACTGTGGCAAATAGCATAAAACTGGCCCTTACGAAGTACAAATGTCTTACTCTTCTTAGTCTTAGTGCTAGTGTATCAGTATTTTATAAAATACAGTAATATTTTGGTTACCATACATTACATATGTATATCTATTATTGTTATCATTATATACAAATAAATTCTTAAATTTTAGTTATTTTTCTTAAACGTAGAACAATAAACAAAATATGTATAGAAAACAATGATCTCTACTACTTATGATGTTAGGAAGTTTATTGTACTCGTGTGTTGTACTTGCTAAGCCTCATCAAATTTCACATGTGGATGATGTAAAAAATTAATTTCTGTAGGTTTTATATGTGCATTTTGGAATAACAAAAATTACAAATTACTATACCAATACCACAAAAATCCACTATAATTTATCAGGCTTTCTAACTAAGCTGTATTTTGGTCTAAAAAAATTGTACTTGTAATTGAAATATCACCTTGACAATCACATTTCAAACTCTCAAGCAATTATAATAGTTTTACCTGTGTAAATACATTAGGAAGACTGGCATAATTGTGCAGTTCAAAATGAGCACTTTTTAGTAGTTATAAATATGTAACTTAAGCGATGTAGTAGGCATAGGTAAACAAGTACTTTCAAAAGAGGAAGAGGTTGGCACAGAACCACTATGGTGAGTTAGCTAAGTATAATGATATCTCAGCAGACAGAAAAAAAAGGAAGTTCTTATTTTATATTCTATCTTGTCAATATTGGTAAATATGAGTTTCTATTTGTTAAAAACCATAGACTTTACATTTTATAATGTACAATTTGACACATGAAAAATTGATATTCAGCAACAGTTTCAATATTTACTTTTGAATTAAGAAATTTAGTAATGTATAATGCTAAAATTTGAATTATAAACTATAATTTGATTCAAAATTTATGGACATACAATAATAATTTAATAAAACTTTGAATGTAAGTGTACAAAATGTGATGACCTGCACTTTGACTCCAACCCATATGGAAAGGGATAAATTGTAGAGTAACCCCATCAAGCACTGTTTATAAGTTTGTTGTATATTGTTTATAGAGCTGAGCAATTAGTTGTATATGCTGATCAATTAATTAATGAGCTCATTAATTGATTACATTTGATTAATCCATAAGTACATGCCTTCTACACTGATATTCATTAACATATTTCTTTTGATACTTGATTTTACCAATTGCAGTAGTCACCAGTTACAACTTTAAATCATACAAAAACACAGCAAAAACTGACAAAGATTTACTGGTGAGCTAGAATCCAAACTATCAAAATAGCACTACCTTTGTCAGGCTAGGTATCATGTTTTTGTTGAAAATATTTTGGTCAAAGACCAACTTATATCTTCTAAATATACCTTATTTTCAAAAAATAATGAGTTATATTATTTGTGTGCATTGTCTGAATACAATAAACAATATGTAATAAATAAGAATTTAAGTCATTGGCATATTTTGCTGTCACCTACCACACTGTACATGTTAAACCTAACTAAATTTACTTAGGTGTCTTACCACAGAAGAACATATCTGTGGCTTCTGAAGCACATATAATTTAACATGAAAACATTTTCAGAAACAGGAAAACATCTGAAGAACTTGTCTATTAATTCCAAGATCTGTGGTTAAATCCTGACTCTAAACTTCCCACTAGATTACATTTTTCTCTGCAGGAGGTTGGTCTAATCACTTTTCCACAAAACCATAGCTTACTTCTTAGACCAATCTATTCAATCTGCATTGATTTGAATAGCATATAGTCTGCTCTATCTAGAAGTATTTAAACTTTCCACATAGCTAATTTCAAAGCTATGTGTCATTAGTAAATGATCAAACCACTTGATATGGCATCATAACAATGTTTCAAGCAAGGTATGTACAAAAACTAAAGGAAAAACTTGAAAATCAAGTTATGAATAACATATTCTCAAAGGTTGATAGGTTCTTAATAAAAATAGTTATTTTTAAGGATGGGCAGAAAAATTATAAAACAATGCGACAGTGGATTGTTTCATTTACAGGTAAAACTCTTTGCAGCTGTGCAGAAATTAAAATACAAGTTTTTTTATTTTTCTTCATGAATTACACTAAATAAATTTAATTTGTTTAGTGCATACTGGTGTATAAAAGACATTGTAATACTAGAAATAAATGACCTTATAACCTTATTTAAACCATTTTGAAGCTTTGTACTATCAGTTACAATTTGTCTTTTAGTGAAACACTCTTGAAAAAGCTGTAAAGCGAAACATTGATTGTCAAATTAAAGAAAACTAACAAATTTGGTGTTATAAAGTCATATATTTCTAGTATTAAAGTATTTGTGTGTTTCAGTGTTTAACACAAGACAAATCATGCCTGTGTTTTAGAACAAATATTCCAACAAGGTACGGTGTGTGTATATCTTTAGTCTGCTCGAAATTTCATATTTTTTAGACTAAAATACATCTTAGTTACTAAGCTTGATAAATTATAGTGGAATTCTATGGTATTAATGTAGTAATTTATGATTTTTTTAGTTATTCAAATGTATATATATAAAACCTAAAACAAATTATTTTGTTCCTATCCTCCACATGCAAAATTTTTAAAGGCTTAGCAACCTATCAAGCAGCAACCGAGTACAAAGGTC